GTGGGCAGTTAGAAAATTTTACTACTAACAGAGACACAAAAGTGGGTGGTAGGTATAAAAAGGTTGACTACCCCTGGTTTATACAAGCAAATCTTTTCAATGAACTCTTATTGTATATTTCATATTGAAAATTGTGAGATAGGCAGATAAGCTCCAAATAAGTGGCCTTTGTATAGAAACCTACTTTACTTAATTATGAGTAACTGAGTAGGCAACTATGAATTAAGTGAAACATAGTCATGTGAACAATTCCTTAAATAGAAGGAATAATATTGGAATTAAAATTTACAGGATTTTGGCATTATGACCAAAAAAAGAATTGCAAAGTGAAAACTTTTCCACAGCTGTATAACTTGCGCTAAATGCAATGTTACCATTTATGAAGAAACAGCATTGAAAACAAAATTTTAAAAGTGCCTTTTTGATCTGAATGCAACTGAAAACGATTCTCCTGCATGTATTCAAAGGAGTTTCCAGTAATTTGGATTTTTTTTCTGCTGGCCACATTCACAATCAGATAATTTCCCCAACAGTTTATAGGCTGAAAAGGTTACATATAATAATCTCGTTACATTCTAATCACAGTCCAGATGACTTTGTAACCAACCATAATACTGTAATAATATTTTCCTACCTTTCAGGAAAAATTCCTTTTATACCAGAATTGGTTGCCAGAACAGAACAGAATTGTGAAGGGAGGGGTATTATCATGATCCAGTATATTAAATTGTTGTTTGTGTTAGAAATAACTTATATGTCTAAGATTATTTCATTGCTGGTCATGCTATAGATGTCAAATTTCTTATGAGTCATAAGTATTCTAATTAACAACATTTTTTATCATTTTGAATTTATATAATTCTGTTGATACCTATGTATTATATAAGTATCTGTAGTAGAAAGCAAAATCAAACTTTTCCTATATTTTACAGGCTTCAGACAATGAAATAGTTTGGGTCATGCGGATTACCATTTTTATGTTTGGAGCTGCAGCAACAGTGATGGCTCTGCTAGCTAATTCCGTATATGGTCTCTGGTACCTCAGCTCTGACCTGGTTTACATTATCATCTTTCCCCAACTTTTGTGTGTTCTTTTTATCAAAGGAACAAATACTTACGGTGCCATTGTAGGATACTTACTTGGGCTCCTACTTCGAATTACTGGAGGAGAACCTTATCTATCCTTAAAGCCTTTAATTTTGTATCCTGGTTGGTATCATGATGAGGAGGGATACGTTCAGAGATTTCCTTTTAAGACATTAGCTATGCTTACTTCTTTCTTTACAAACATTGCAGTATCCTATCTAGCAAAATACTTATTTGAAAGTGGCAATTTACCACCCAAACTAGACTTCCTTGATGCTGTTGTTGCAAAGTACAGTAAAGAGAACATGGACAAGACTACTCTTGTGAAAAGTGACAATATAGTTTTAAATGAACTCGCACCAGTGAACCCTCGACACAGTTTGACTCTGACCTCTACTTTTACAAATAAAGAGGCCTTCAGCGATCTGGATTCAAGTCCAGAGGTATCCACTGCAGACGAGAAATGACAACAGCCCAGATGAAGAGAAACACTGCATTTGCCTCACCCATAATGCAACGGGTTTGCTGCCATGGGAAATTAAACGTAGCTTGAGAAGAAATGGATGGAGACAAGAAAAACAAAAACCACCCACTACCATGTAGCTCTTTTAGTTTGTGTCTTGAAAGAGGAAAAATTTGGATTAAACTCTTATACAGTATTATCAAAAACATGTTCGGTAGAATTATAGTATATCTCATTCCACCACAGTATTTGAATGTCAGTAGGAGAGAAAATGCAACATCCAGGAAAAAACATTGGTTTCTTTAAAATTTATATCACTAATTTGCACAGCTAGAAGTAATTTGCAAATTCAGAATCCCCATTTTCCCAGTTCTCCTCCATCTGCTAACTGACAGCTTTTATTTTGCACATCCTGGAGCAAGATTGAGCTGCTGAAAGTCAGCAACATTCCCAAAACTGCACCACTGAACGTTAACTTCAAGCATAAAAAATTAGTAGTGAATCTTTCTTGGGTTTTTTAGAAATAAGAAATCAAATGTTGTGTTAAGATCCTAACATTTTAACATGCACATTTTAAACAAAATGTAATAACACAAAGCCGATATGTAGCACTGCTATTTTAGTGATGTCATTGGAAAAAATGAGGTCATCAACTGCTGTCCAAGCTTATAGTTTGGATGGAATCTTCTTGAAATATATGATTAATTTGTGTCACATTTAATAAGAAAAATTATGTTGATTTCTTTATCAACATAAAAAAAAATTGTCAAGATTGGAAAAAACAAAGATTGTTCCCTCGCCTTCAGAATAGATGGGGAAACACGTATTCGATATTAGCTAGTGTGTCCTATCTGGTAGCAAGTTATTCAATAAGGAAGAAAGGAACTTACAGATTCTATGATCTCCAGCAATAAATCGTGCTCCTGTAATTAATAGATTTAAAAAAACATGTATATTTTATATCTCTTAAACTATAGATTCAGCCCCTTCCAATTAGTAAATTGAAATATTCTACTAATAACATTCTTTTCTTTCATGAAAATTAAGGTTTTTCTCTCATCAGTTACCCCTTTATAAAGCTTGAAAAAATAGCAATATGTGATGTAACCACCCTGGTTTTCATGTAGTTATATATCAATCACACCTTGAGGGCTTTTTAAAATATTCAGAATTCCTAAATGGTGCTCAAAGTGACCTGGGAAGAGAACAAAAGTTTAAGCATCTCTCTTTCTTCACATTTTCTATCTTTAAAACAGTCATTAAAAAAAGCCAGCTGGTTAATGCTTTCCAAGCATGCTAGTTTTAAATGTGAAGAGAGTTTATTTTATGTATAACACTATTCAAACGTTTGATATCCCTTTTGTCATCTGAAATGATATTCCTTGGCAGCATTGAATCATCTGGATTTTCAGCTTTTTTTTCCATTGTGGAACATTGCTAGGTAGCTAACTGCTTGATTAGACTACGTTGACCTTGCATTCATATCATAGGTTTGTTTAACATCTAACTGTGGATTCACTGTGTGTGTATATGTGTGCTTCTCATATAACCTTTTGTAGTCAGTATCAATATAAGCCTTGATAACTTGCTATCATCCGTGCATTCACCTAATTATATCCATGTTTCTCCAGAGCAGTTTTAATTTGGATAAATGTGGTATATTGTTCTCTGAGCTAGGCCATTATTAAGCTTTTGTATGTATGCAAGAGGATTTATGCACCCTTTTGAAATTTATTATAGGAAAATAGCAGACAAATGTGTTTCAGCATTTGATGCATTCTCTTAAATATATGATGGAACAATTAGGCTTTTGGAAAGCAAGAACACATCCTCCATTCACCAGTACCTAGAACAGGGTGGGAAACTATGGCCCTTTTATGACTTGTGGACTTCCACTCCCAGAATTCTGGGAGTTGAAGTCCAAAAATCATAAAAGGGCAATAGTTCGACACCTCTGATCTAGAATGACCAATCAGTGCAAAAAAAAAATAACTAGAAACCTGTATGGTTGCTGACAGTTTCTATTAAGCTTATGAACTTCTTCTGTGTTGGCCTTGTACTCATAATAACATTGGATCATGTCCTTAAACTTATTCATTAGCATTATTTCTATATTTATTGATGGAAATTTGTCATGATTCTGATGTGACTGTTAAAATATAATTCTAGCAAAAGTGAAAAGCTATTTTTGATCTAGGACTGCAGCATCAAGTAGGTAAAATATTCCATTAAAAGACTTCTTCAGATCAAAATAGCATCAGAGATGAAACTAAGCTGCTATTTGCTCATTTTGAAACTCAAGAATAAGTTCATTGTACCTGCTTGCAGTAGTATAATTTTGCATAAACTTGAAGTTCCAAGACTTTGCTTGCTTAGAAATAGTAACAGAAGTAGATAAAAACATCCTGTTATAACTCCTGTTACATAGCTCCTATGCTTAGGCAGGTAATTCTAAATAAGCTTTAAAAAAATTACTTTGTTTCATTAGTGACAAGATGGTAATTCCTATGTTATGAATGTTATGAGAGACTGAAGTGAATGTAAACTTGAAATATATTAATCAAATACTTCTAACAGTTGGATTTTAGTTATTTAATTTCAGAGTGATCATTAACATTTAAAATATTTTAAGTCATAGGAAGAAACATAATCAATTACCTGTCTACACTTTGTGCTGATTTGATCCAGTAAAATGTGTCAGTATATAATTGTAAGTCTGCTATTTAAACAGGGTAATAGTTATAGTTATTATTTATTAATGTATATTATATATATAAATATATATATAGTCTGTCATAAATATATATATTTTAAAAATGTTTGACTCAAATAAGGATTCTGCTGTCAATATCGCGGTTTCTCTCTGCATGTACAGAAGTACCCACAAATTCAGGAAAAAATATCAAATGTTGTCTACTTTGGCTTCATTTTTGTCCAGCTATTTAAATATATATACATTTATTTTAACATTAAGCAGTGTACACTGTGTATGATTTCTACAATGCAATATATTGAACTGAATTGCTCTGTTGGTAAAAAAAAAATTGCAAAGTTATTAAAATGTGATTATTAGTAATTTTCCAAGATGTGTCCCAAATAGGTCTCACAACTCACAACTCATATTTCATATCAAAAAGAGAACCCCCTAAAATTACCATCTTCATCAAGATTATTCTGTAGTCTTACAGAATCCAGTAAAACATGTTAGATTGCAAAAATAATAGTAATTATTATTTGCTCACGGATATTTAATACAATGTTTATGCCTAAACCAGGAACCTGAACAAACCAGATACAATGTTCTAACTGCACTTCTCTTTAGACATACAATGAATAACCAGTTTCTTTGCCAAGTATATGGAAGCAGCAGTCTAACCTTTTTCCTAACTTTTTCAACTGCTAACTGCATTAACAAATTGATATGTTACCGAGAGAATTTTGCACACATGTATTTGTATCTGTATGTAAATAAACTGCTTTTTTCTAATCAGTCATAAGAAAACAACTCAGGCTGAGGAATATCTTAGCAAATACATAAGGTTGGTACCAGAAATCTGAACAATAATGATGTTATTCAGAAGGACAAGACTGGGCAGATGACTCTGGACCTTCAGGATGCGATTGGAAGATAGGGATTTAAGACATTTTTCAGCAACATTGTAATGACCACCATTGTTGTGAAGCAGCTCCTTGGCACAGGAAAGCATAAATAGGCATATTATAGATAAAGTGTTCAAACTTGTTTAAGTTAAAAAATTTGTTTACTTCAGTGACAGTTTGGTGGTGCAATCAATGACCAAAAACAAGATACTTTCCTTTAGGATTGATAAAGTTCATATTGGATAACATTAAATTTACCCTATCCAATTTTTGCCTCAGCTGATTAAGAGATTATACTTCCTTTGCTTATTAATACAAATATCCACTTCCCTAGTATCCACCCTCACTCCAGAAACCACATTAGTAACAAAGTCTAAAAGCCTAGGTGTAAAAAAGGTTTACATATTACATATTACAAATAGGATATTTATATATCCTACATTTGTATATAACATATTACCAAATACAATTAAAATGATAGTGAAAGAAGCAAAGCCTGTGATAATGTGTTACAGTCTTATTTGTTATGCACAGTGAACAGGATCAGTAAGACTGGATATGGAATGACCTGCTATAAATAAGTAATATGAAGAAAATTGTTTATCCAACGAATTATTCTTTCATGGGCCTTGGCTAAACATTCTCATTCCTTTTTAGCCATATCCTATAGGTATATATCTCCATTATATAACAAGCAAGAGAACTGAATCATGGCTAGATTTTATGGTGATTCTATGACAAAGCTTGAGGTGAAGTATTACATGTTTCTGTCCCACAAATCAGGCACTTTAAGCAAAAACTCCACATTTTCCAACCCCTCAATGTACATTTTACATCAGACAATAAACAAAAAATATGTCATGTCACAGGCCAAAATCTAGACCCTGACTATCTTGCCTTTGAGAATAATCTTGGCTGTTCTTAGGACAATGATGAATATGCCCCTAAGCAATACTAGATAATTTGGACTAGTCATTATTTTCATTTAATATTAAGCTGAGGAAATTGTGGGAAATAAAAAGCTTCATTTTTCTGGAGACCCAGACCAAAATTCAGAAAAGATCAAAATTACAATATCCAAAGAGCAACAATGGAGATTAAAATATATCTTCTTCTTTCATACCTTTTTCTATAATTCAAACTAAATTTAAATATGTCTTCCCTGTCCCACTAACATATGCACACACCACAAGGGTTTGAAGTCTTTATTGAGGCTTCACCAGCCCTGAATAATATTTTCCAGGATTTCCCACTAAGGAACCAGAGCAAAGTCCAATGAGTCCAGCTTCCCATGTCAGGAAAAATACAAAACAAAACCAGGAAAGACAATCCAAAGCACAAATCCTACAAACCAAAATGAATTCCAAGGTCCACAAGTTAACATCCAAAGTCCAGAAACAGAATCAAGGTCAAAGTTTCAAGGCAAGGTATATGGTGGTTGAACAAACACACAATTCAAAATGAAAGAGTTGTTCTCAGAATCACTCTGCTCCACTTGCAGGGATGAATAGCTGCCAGCCAGCACAACTCATTAGGAAGAAAAAGGTGCCTCCTCATGAGTAACTTCACTGACTTCCATTGCACCTCTCTCCTCTTGGCCCTGTGTGTCCTAGGATCCGGCGGAGAAGGCAGTTCCATCCCTGCTCATCAGTTGTAGCTATGCCCCTTCTCCACCCTCTTCTTCTGTCTGGCCTTCCAAGCCTCTGGGCTGCCACTGTATTTCTGACTTTCCATTGTCAGCCAGCCGTTTATCCAAACACTCCTATGGCCCTTTTGAAGTTACTGGCATTTCCACCTGTACTAGCCAATCCACTCCTGGTTCAGAGTTTCCCTCATCTTCTTGATACTCTGCCACACTCTGTTCCCAAGTTCCTGAATCAGGCTCTTCCTTGTTGACTGAGCCCACTTCGGGACCATCCATGACACAATTCCCCACCCCCCAGTAGGACCAATCCCCCAGGTCCCCCCACTGGTTAAGTTTCTATCTGAAGTGGAATTGGGAGGTGGAATTGATGGGCCAGACGTAATGTAAATCCTCTTAAAGACTGATGTAAAGCTTGCAGCTCCTGAAGGAAGTCCTCAGCTGCTGGCACAGGTGAGTCAGACATGGTCAGGAGAAACAGGTATGGGAGAAAAACCATAGTTGGTCAGAAATTGAGTCATCTGTGTGGATGTATGCTGTGGATTGTTGTGTGCAAATTCAGCCAGCACCAACAGATCCACTCAATCATCTTGCTGGAACTTGGTAAAACACTGTAAGTACTGCTCCAGCACTGAATTCACTTATTCTATGCCTCCTTCAGTCTCTAGAAGATAAGTTAAGGTTAGGCATGCCTGCACCTGCAGGCTGGCTAGAAGCACCCAGAAAACTTTGCCCATAAAATGGATCCCCCCAATCTGTCATATTCTCCAGATTCCATATGGAATGATTAATTCACTTTTGCAGTCAATCAAACTTTCCAAAGTTCAGCAGCAACTCTTAACTAACATTCTCTTTTTAAAAAGTTTTATACAGTATATATAGGATTACAGTATTGTTTCTTTTATGAATAATTTATGGGTGTTGGACTACTTCAGGAAGATCAAATCCATGACGAACTTCACATTCAGCCAGGAAAGTTCTCTTAACTTCATTCCATTCACAATATTACAGCCTGACCAATATCATAGGGTTGTGGTGGGGATAAAACTAGAAAACTAAAACTAGAATGCTTTCAATTCAGAGAGGAAAGTAGGAATATAATTCTAAACTAAATATAACAAGCAACAATATTGATTGATTTTCACAGTCATCTTGGATATCACAGAATGGACAAAACCTTACTCCTCAGCATTTTGTTGTCTGCTTACAAATAATTCTTTGTGATGTGCAAGATGCTGATGGCCAGGATTTATTTATTTTTTGCAGTTTCCAACTGTAAGTGCCCCTAGACAAATGTTTCTCCATGGGGCTGTTGAGAAGCAGAAGTCCTAATAAGGTAATCACTTATAAAAGCAGAAAACCTGCCTGGGGTCAGACAACCAAATAGAAAGACATCTCTTTTCAAGTGTATTTTCCAAAGTTCAGCTATGCTTGTTTGTTATTTCAGCCAGACAATGAAACATGTACCAAAAAGTGGATGAGAGAAAAGTTCCATCAGCCAAGAGTGAAAATTTATTCTGCATGACTTCAGCAGGGAAGCTGACTTATAGGCATGAGTGTGTTGTTGCTGCTAAGATGCATTTTAGTTACTTAAAGGTAAAGATAAATGTTCCTCCGCACATGCGTGCTAGTCGTTTCCAGCTCTAGGGAAGGTGCTCATCTCAGTTTCTAAGCCAAAGTTGTCCGAAGACGTCTCCATGGTCATGTGGTTGGCATGACTAAACGGCGATGGCACACGGAGCACTGTTACCTTCCCACTAAAATGGTCCCTATTTTTCTACTTGCATTTTTTACGTGCTTTCAAACTGCTAGGTTGGCAAAAGCTGGACAAATA